AAACTTCTAAGAGCAAAATTTTTGCTGAGAATAAATTTGAAATTGATTTTGGTTACAATGTGAAATGCTGAGAATCTGAAGAGAAAGAGGATGTAAGAAGAGATTGTAAAATCACGCTGCTTTCTCCTGAAAATTTCCTTAAACGACCTTGACCAACTGTGCAGGAAGTTCCTGAAGGTCAGGCCCAGGAGGATACTGTAGGGCGTCCCATCATGCACCTGTCAGCGCTGAAGCATGCAACAGGAGAGGCCGTGTACACGGACGACATGCCGCCCTTACAGGGTGAGGAGTGAGAGCTGGTAGTGTTTAAAGTTAAAACTTTATGCTAGCACATTTGCAGAACGTACTGTGCCTGCGCAAAACCCTGATTTTTCGCGGTTTTTGTTAGATGTTTGGTTGACATTGCATCAGAATTTTGTCTGTTTCAGAGGATATCATTTCCGACATAACATGGAAACTACAGACAGGATGTTTAACTTATATAGGCGATTATATGAGAAGTTGTGCCAAAGTGCTATGGGCAATACATTATGGGTCTTACGTAGGTGCAGAACGTTCTGCTGACGTGCTTGTTATGCCAGTGAGTTTACATGCTGTAACTTTACTGTCAGCTTTGCAGTGTTTTTGGCTGTTGAGAGCATTTAAAGAGATGGTGTATGTATTACTATGCAGTGGTGTTTGCTAACCTGAAGAAAAATAGCCCCGTGTGTGTAGTGCCCATCATAAAGCTTCACGGCAACTTGCTTACCTTCTTATGTTAATGCCATTGGAATATACAATGTACTTGCCTGTTTGTAAACCGTAACTCTCGCGAGATCACGTTGTGAAGTGATTGGTCATTAATTATCCTGATGAAGGCGACAGTCACCAGGTCGCTGAAAATTTGATCCCTAAAATTGTGTGTTGGAATAAAGTTCAACGTTTTACTATACTTGCCTGTTGTTTAATATAATGACTGTGTTCTTGCCAGGTGAGCTCTATGTTGGACTGGTGCTCAGCAAAAAGGTTCATGCCAAAATTCTGTAAGTTGATGATGTACTGTGTAACATCGATGTTACTTGTAACAATTATTGGGCTACTTGTGACTCAAAAATATAACATCTGTGTCCATAATATCACCAGGGTCCATAATATCGCCACCTTGAGAAATAGTGTGCTTTTAATACATTTTTACTGCAACATACCCTAGGTATGTACATTTGAGGTGTGCAGGAGTGCATACCAAAAGTATGTTGCAGTAAAAATATCTTTAAGCACACTGTTTCTCAAGGTGGCGATATTATGGACCCTGGTGATATTATGGACACAGATGTTAGCAAAATTATTTTCATCAGTTCTTCTCTTTGAAGTAAATTTTGTTATCGTAGCTTAGTTAGATTATCTGGGTTTGTTTTAGACTGTTTTCACAGAACTTTGTTTAACTATACCCTTTGTGATCAAATTGAACATGATTTGTATATCTAGTCTTTTTGCAGCCAATGATAATTTGCACCTGACAAAGTAACCATTAACTAACCGCCACGACACAAAGTTTAACGTTTTACTATAAAATTCCAAAGTTGTTGTTCTTAGCCCCTCTATTCTTTTGACTATTGGTCAAATACAGAACAAGAAAGGTGTTAAAAAACACTCTAGCGATGTTAGTTGCAGTTTTCTTTTAGATTTTCTTTGCAGCTAACAATCCTGCTCGCCACAAAAACTCTGCGATACCTTACATAACAAACTTGCTGAACAAACACTTCAACTGACAATCTGTAAATACCAACATGACCTCATGAATCGTATTATATATAGAAGACTAATAGATACAATTTTTATCACACTTATATTTATTGATTTTAAACCGAATTTGTTTGATTGTCTATTTTAACTCCTTAGCATTTTTAACCTATTTCATTGTAAATGCCTGTCAATTCAGACTTATTGTCTGCAAGAAGGTGTGTGAATAAAGTTTCAAAGTTTGAATCCTACCCCCCCCCCTCCCAGCTCCATTGACCCGAGTGCGGCCCTACAGATGCCAGGTGTGGAGATGTTTGTTGGTGCTGAGGACGTTCCCGGATCCAACATCACCGGAGTAGTGATGGACGAAGAGGTGTTTGCCTCTGAGAAGGTAATGCACTGCCACAAGTTAGGGGGAAGGGCATTTTGTTATGTATATAATAATGCGGGTTATTTGAAACACTTCACACTTGACAATATAACCATTACGTTTTTACAATACAACACTAAAGGTTAAAATACCAACCTCATTAAAAGTACATTGTACTAGATTAAAATCAAAGTATATAATGGAATGTACATTACAGGATTACATTACAGAGTGCTGTTTAAAAGCTGGAGGAGGTAAGGCAATGGGCTTTTTGAATATCTTGCTGTGCGTACTGGCAATAGGTCTATATGTGTAACAAGGTTCCTTTATCTGTATGCACTAGTGTCATTGAACTTTTAATGAAATTGAAATTAAAGCGATATAGCCTTTCAATGGTTTTATGAGGACTGTGGCACTAGTTAGCACGTTGGCAGAACGTACTGCGCCTGCACAGGATCCCGATTTTTCATGGTTTTCGTTGGATTTTTGGTCAACGTTGCATTAGAATTTTGCTTGTTGCAGACGATATTTTTTCCGACATAACATTTGGAAACTACAGACGAGATGTTTTCCTTATATGCTCAAATACATTACCTTATATGGGACATTCTGCGGAAGTGCTATGCACAATATATTACGGATTTCGTGCAGGTGCAGTACGTTCTGCTGACGTGCTGCACTAGTTAAACATGATTTATAAAGCACTCCTGTAGATTAACCTATGCTGCAGCATGTAGAAGAAGAATATAGACATGCCTAGACGTTATGCTGTATTGTTTTTCCATGTAGGTGACCTGTGTTGGGCAGGTAGTAGGTGCCGTGCTGGCAGACACACAGGCACATGCGCAACGGGCAGCTAAAGCAGTGGCCGTGCAGTATGAGGACCTGGAACCCAAAATCATCACCATTGAGGTCAGTAAGGTCAAATGTAAGGTGTATCTAGAAGTGCTTTGGTCTGATCTAACCAGAAGTGAAGATCCTAACTTAAAGATATTGTCCTTTGCCCCTCCTGAGTTCTTTTGAAGATTGGCTGAATACAGAAAGAGCTAAAACAGAGGCAAAATTGAACATAATCAATAAGCAATTATGACTGATAGGACAGTACTCAGTACTTATGCTGATTATATAAATGAGGACAATCATTTGTTCTGTTAGGTTGATATGTGGTGTGCTGCACTACGTGTTCATGTCTGCTTTTGTTTCCAGGATGCAATTCTGCACCAGTCGTTCTTCCATCCCATCAACAAGATAGAGAAGGGCAATCTGGAGGAGGCTTTTGAGAAGGCTGACCAGGTAAGACTGCTGGCAATTGCTTTGCTGAAGGAATGATGGAGAATTGTCATGAAGACAGTCAATAACCTGTCAACTTTCAACTTTATTTGTTCAACCAGGTGTCACACTCAGGCCACTCTGGCCTGTTTTTCAGGAAATCCTGGTACAAAAGCACAGACAAACACCTAACAGTTGAACAGATTCACAATGCACCCAAAAGTCTAAAAAATAGCACATAGATAAAACTAATCTTAAATACAATTCGATAAAACCTGTTTAAAAGTTCTGAGACTAGGCTGCTGTCGTTGTTGTAGGGGGAGTGAGTTCCAGAGATAAGGTCCATAATACTGTAAGCTGTTCCTGTATGAAGTCACTCTAGCTGGGGGACAGGAGAGTAGGTGGGGGTCATAGTCCCGTAGCCGTTTTAACTCTGACCAAGAATATAAATAACCTGTAGTGTTTGAGTACATTACATGTATGTAGCATGTGGCAGGACAGAGTTGGAGGGGCCGGTCACTGCCGATAAACAGAGCAGTACTTTGTTAGGTTAGACCATAATTGTTTGTTTGTTTATTTATTTATCCAGGAGAACACATGTCGCCTGATGGCGATTTCT